TTTTTTTATATGTGCAAATTAGGGAATATCAGAAATCAGTAGAGTGAGGTATTTTAAATTAGAATGATTAATTATTTGACTGTGTACTTCTTCAAGCAACTTTTATTTCCAGTTTTATAAAAAGAGAGAGGAGTGAATGGGTTTGCCTGGGACACCCTAGAAAAGAGACAGAGGGCTGGGCGGCCGCTGCACACCGGGCCACAGGTGCTGTGGGGGCAGAGCCAGAGGTGGCCTCAGCCAGGGGCTTCCAGCCTCTCCCGTCCCCACCCGGCCAGCGTGGGAGCAACAGAAGGAAGGAGGCGGGAACAGCCAACGGGTGGGGGCGCTTCCCCAGGCAGTGGACACTTGCACCAGCCAGGCCCTCCCCGGGGTCAGCCCCACCTCTGTCCTGTCATCCAGTCCTGCGACGACACCAAGCAGCTGCAATCACACTCTGCTCCTAGGAGCCCCGTGCCTGTCTGGAGCGACGGCTCAGCAGGCTGTCCTGCCCCTCTGAGCACAGGCTGCGGCTTTCACGGGACGAACCGCCTCCCGCGGACACAACTCTGCTGTCCCCATGCATGGCTTTCCCCCTGGGGCAGGCATGCCAGTGCACCAGAGCCTTTTCTGCTGGCTCAGGCTTCCCTTGTGGGACGGCTCCTCCTGGATGCCTCCCGTGACTGATTCCAAGTTTAAGGAGGAAGCCAACAAGGATTCCTCCCTGCCAGAATGTGCTTTATCTTTCTTTTTAGGGAAGAAGGGATGTTGGAAACTTTAATTGGCACTGGAAGGAGGTCGTTCCCAGGGGTGTTTGCAGGCTGCCACCGGGGTGGCCTCATGGGTTCTGCCATGGCCTGGGGGGTGCAGGTGCTGAGGCGCCATTCACAGGGATGAGGGCAGGACCCCAGCCTGCGAGCCTGGCCCTTCCCTTTCTCTCCCTTCCTCCTGGCTCCGCAGGCTTCTGATGGCCTCTGCAGGTAGAGATGAAGGCAGTAGCCCGGCAGCCAGGGGGCAGATCAATGGGCCCAGGCTGGCTGTAAAGCGGTCCCAGCGCTGCGGGGCAGCAGGAAGCTGCTGCAGAGCTGAGTCTCACTCTTCAGGGCACTCTGTGTTTGGCCCTAGGATATCCCCACGGGTGCAGACAGCTGCGTGACCAGCCTGTCCTGCGACTCCCACCGCTCGCTCATCGTGGCTGGCCTCGGCGATGGCTCCATCCGTGTCTACGACAGGAGAATGGCGCTCAGTGAATGGTAACTGCTTCACCTGCCCACGTCTGACCATGTCATGTCACTACCGCTGGCTGGTTCCACATTTCTCAGCAAAGCCAAAGCTCCTCCCAGAAGCCCACAGTGGAGCATTTCAGCCACTTAGGTGGGGTCCCCAGAGCCATCCAGCCTGTCCCACAGAGGCCCATCCCACAGCCCATGGAGGAGCAGGGTGGACAGGCCTCGTGGAACGTGCCTGTGGGCTGGAGTCAGAGCCAGCAGGCCAGGGCCCTGGCATGCACCTGCTGTCTCTGTGTCCCACCTGAGCACCAAGGACGCTGC